GCGTCACACTGTTGGCTCATGTCAAGTTTGTGGTCAACCAAGACTCCTAGGTCCTTTTCACATGTACTGCTCTCAAGCCAGGTGTCCCCCATCTTGTATTTGTGCCTCTCATTTTTTTGCCCAAGTGCAATACTTTACATTTCTCCCTGTTCAAATTCATCTTGTTTGTTTTGGCCCAGTTCTCTAATCTGTCAAGGTCGTTTTGAAGTGTGATCCTGTCCTCTGGCGTGTTAGCCACCCCTCCCAGTTTGGTGTCATCTGCAAATTTGATCAGGATGCCCTTGAGTCCATCATCCAAGTCTGTGATAAAGATGTTGAATAAGACCGGGCCCAAGACAGAACCCTGTGGCACCCCACTAGTCACTCTTCTCCAGGATGAAGAGGAACCATTGATGAGCGCCCTTTGGGTTCGGTCAGTCAGCCAGTTACAAATCCACTGAGTGGTAGCATAGTCAAGACCGCATTTTACCAGCTTCTTTACAAGAATATCATGGGGCACCTTGTCAAATGCCTTGCTGAAATCAAGGTAGGCTACATCCACTGCGTTCCCTTCATCTACCAGGCTTGTAATTCTGTCAAAAACGAGATCAGGTTAGTCTGACATGACTTATTTTTCAGAAATCCATGCTGACTATTGGTGATCACAGCATTCCTTTCTAGGTGCTCACAGACTGTTTGCTTAATGATCTGCTCCAGAATCTTCCCTGCTATTGATGTCAGACTGACTGGGCGGTAATTATTTGGGTCCTCTCTTTTCCCCTTTTTGAAAATAGGGACAACATTTGCCCTCCTCCAGTCCGCCAGGACTTCGCCTGTTCTCCAGGAATTCTCAAAGATGACTGCCAGTGGTTCTGAGATCACATCTGCCAGTTCTTTTAATACTCTTAGATGCAGTTCATCTGGCCCTGGAGACTTGAATACATCTAAACTAGCCAAGTATTCTTGTACTATCTCCTTAGTTATTCTGGGCTGTGTTTCCTCTGCTGAATCATTTGCTCCAAATTCTTCAGGTCGGGCATTGTTTTCTTTATTGGAGAAGACTGAGGCAAAGAAGGCATTGAGGAGTTCAGCTCTTTCTGTGTCCCCTGTTTGCATTTCACCATCTTCTCCTCTTAGTGACCCCACTGTTTCTTTGTTTTTCCTTTTGCTACGGACATACCCATAAAAGCCTTTTTTGTTGCTTTTAACCTCTCTAGCAAGCCTGAGTTCATTCTGTGCTTTAGCTTTTCTGACTTTGTGTCTACACGTGCTGGCTATTTGTTTGAATTCCTCTTTGGTGGTTTCCCCCCTTTTCCATTTTTTTGTACACATCCTTTTTAATCTTAACTCAGTTAAAAGTTCTTTAGATAGCCACCCTGGCTTCTTTAGGCACCTTCCATGTTTCTGTCTCATTGGTATTGCCTGACGTTGTGCTTTTACTATCTCCCTCTTAACAAACTCCCAGCCATCATGAACTCCCTTTCCTTTTAGTATTACTGTCCATGGGATCTCACCCAGCACTTCCCTAAGTTTTATGAAGTCGGCTTTCTTAAAGTCAAGAAATTGAGTCCTAGTATGCTTGGCTGCTCCTTTCCGCTGTATAGTAAACTTCAGAAGAGCATGATCACTCGCGCCTAATGATCCTTCCACTTCTACCCCACTAACCAGGTCATCAACATTGGTTAGGACCAGATCTAAAATGAAAAGATGGTCCCAGGGGGTATTCCCATGAATACTTTGATCCAAACAACAACAGCAACACATTTAAACACAAACAACAACACCTAAATAACATACTCACAAATGGTTTCCCATTAATTTTAGTCTCATGGGATTCTTTTTGGTTAAGTTTAATCAAATTGGAATTAGTTTCAGGAGGGTGGGCGGGGGGGGGGGGAATTCTGAATTCAACTGCCTTGAATAGAAATGTGTATTTACTTTCATTGTGCTTGCCAGACACTGTTGAACTACAACTCCCATCATCCCTGAACATTGGCTGACGGGGCTGATGGGAGTTGGAGTCAACCACAGCTGGAAGGCCACAGGTCTCTCATCCCTGACTTACAATTATTATTTGCATTTATTATTTTATTATTGCTACTTTTTCTGCTAATGCACTCGTAGTTTAAAATAGTGCCTACATTAAAGGTAAAGGTACCCTTGCCCGTACGGGCCAGTCTTGACAGACTCTAGGGTTGTGCGCTCATCTCACTCTAGAGGCCGGGAGCCAGCGCTGTCCGCAGACACTTCCGGGTCACGTGGCCAGCATGACGAAGCTGCTCCGGTGAACCAGCACCAGAGCAGCACACGGAACGCCGTTTACCTTCCCGCTATAAAGCGGTCCCTATTTATCTACTTGCACCCGGGGGTGCTTTTGAACTGCTAGGTTGGCAGGCGCTGGGACCGAGCAACGGGAGCGCACCCCGCCGCAGGGATTCGAACCGCCGACCATGCGATCGGCAAGTCCTAGGCGCTGAGGTTTTACCCACAGCGCCACCCGCATCCCTACATTAATGCCTACATTAGCTATACTTAATATGCTCTGTGTATGGCTCTGCTAATGTTTACATGGCTATCCGTTAGTTTGTATGTATCTTTATGACAAATTGATTTTAAAAAAGAAAGAAGGAATAGTGTCTGTTACGCAAGATAAAAGAGGGAAAGTGATGGGAAGGAAGGAGGCAAATAAGGGAAATCCAGGTTCCCTAGCCACTGATGGAGGCACTTCAGCAGAGGAAGAGCCAATTGGCCATTGGTACTGCACAAGCACAGGAAGAGAGGTTTTTTCCAGTCTCACTACTCTCTCTGCCCAGCCTGATGAAATAGCTACTAATGGAGACATTACAGTGGAGCAACAAGCAACTTAGCCCTGGTCAAGCCAATGGCAGGACATTGATATTTCCTCTCTCTTTTTAAGTACTCTCAGTGGTGGAGGAAGCTGCTGGGGCACCCGGAGCAGCAAATATGACGCGCACCTGGGGGCAGGGCAATCCACCCACAGAGGCAGGGCAATCCACCCATGGGGATGCACTGATCATCCCGGGGGTGCCAGCACCACCCGCTGATTGCACAAATATGCCCAGTGTGTGGCGCTGGACGTTGGTGATGCGAGCACCGCCCGCCGGGTGGGTGCGAACGCCGCCCGCTGGGGGGGTGCATCTCCGGCAGTCAGCGCCAGGGGTACGAATGCCGCTACGCCGATCTGCCTGGGGGGGGTTTGTCAAAAAACCCACCAAGGCATGGCACCCAAGGCGGACCACTCCCCCTGCCCCAACCTTCGTCCGCCAATGAGTACTGTATTGCTATTTGCTTACCACTTCCGGGTGGCACTGTGGGTTAAACCACAGAGCCTAGGACTTGCCAATCAGAAGGTCGGCGGTTCGAATCCCCGCAACAGGGTGAGCTCCCGTTGCTCGGTCCCAGCTCCTGCCAACCTAGCAGTTCGAAAGCACGTCAAAGTGCAAGTAGATAAATAGGTACCGCTCCAGCGGGAAGGCAAACAGCGTTTCCGTGCGCTGCTCTGGTTCGCCAGAAGCGGCTTAGTCATGCTGGCCACATGACCCGGAAGCTGTATGCCAGCTCACACGGCCAATAAAGCGAGATGATCACCGCAACCCCAGAGTCGGCCACGACTGGACCTAATGGTCAGGGGTCCCTTTACCTTTACCTTCCCTGAATAGTGAGGTATTCTGGGTGCAGCTCCACATGGATTGAGAATGCCTTTGATCTCTCTGTGTTAAAAATCTCCTACTAGTCCCTTATCTTTATTCAGCTTCCTTTTTTTTTCACTTTGAAGGAGAGAGTTATTTTAAACAAAAGCCTATTAGGACGGCCTGCCATCCCGATCTGACCTAATCCCATTGTCTGGTGTCTTCTTTCTTTCTTGATACTGTTTACCTGTCAAGGACCTTCATGTTCTCTCAGTGCATCAAGTGCCTTAGCCCTTGTGTGAAGCCCCTGCAAATTCTTTTTTCAATTACAATTGATATATAAGCTGACTGGGATAGAGGGAAGACTATGGAGAAGAGACTCGGGTGATATTTGCACTGCTGCTGACTCCTTTTTGGTTTGTTTGCCTTAAGGGGGGCAGATGTTCACTCTTGCACAAGTGAAATGGAATGTGTAGGCCTTCAACCCCTGAAGAAGAGGCTTGCAAGGTGTTGAACACTGCTGCTGAAGGGAAGGGGGAGGGAGATATTCTTGCTGGGTGTGTGCAACATTTCTTCCCCTATATATAAAAATCTAAGGCTGTTGTCATGCTCTGCAGTTCATGTAGCCACTGGGCAGGAGATCAAGGAAGCATTTTTTAAAAATATTTGATTATATACAATGCGCACACAACATTACAACTACAACCATTCAAATACCGACAATACAAAAATACAAACATAAATGTTACACCTACGTGACTTCCCTCCACCAGTGTTCATCATTTCTGATGTTTATTATAGTCTTACTTATATTGCGATTTGTAACCTTCTGGCGGTTCCCTCATTGCGAGAAGTAAGGTTACAGGGAACCAGACAGAGGGCCTTCTCGGTAGTGGCACCTGCCCTGTGGAACGCCCTCCCAGCAGATGTCAAGGCAATAAACAACTATTTTACTTTTAAAAGACAACTGAAGGCAGCCCTCTTTAGGGAGGTTTTTAATGTCTGATGCTGTACTGTTTTTAATATTCAGTTGGAAGCCGCCCAGAGTGGCTGGGGAAACCCAGCCAGATGGGCGGGGTATAAATAAATTATTATTATTATTATTATTATTATTACCCTCATGTTTAATATTGTTATTTAACTAATATTTTGTTTTCTGAATCAATTTTACCAACTTAATCTAGACATATCAGCATGTTGTCAAGGAATCATTGTTAATAAGCAGATGATGCTTCTTTTCTGTAACTGTGCAGTAACTTCAGTCTCCGGTGACTTTATAATAAAATCAGTTCCATGGTAGATGCTGGAACCCCAGAAACATATCACTTCTCAGAGATTGCGGTGCATTTAGCAGTATCCACAAGTTTCACCCTCATACATACTGAAACTGTTTTGTAGTCATTCTCCCCTTCCACAGAGAACTGTTTGTGGAGTTTGTGGAGCAGGGTATGGATCTGGGGATCAATAACAGAGTATTGTATGCTGCATTAGACATTTAAGATAACACAGCACACTAAACTCTCTCATGCATCTTAGAATGCAATCCTATGCACACCTACTTGGGAATAAGCCCTGACAGTACATCCAGCCCTAACTTCTTTCACCACACTCACTCCAGTGTTACTTTCTTGAAGTCAGTGTTCTTCACCCTTGGGCCCCTAGATGTTGTCGGACTACAACTCCCATCATCCCCAGCTGGTTTAGCCCAATGGTCAGAGGTGGTAGGAATTTGTGCTTCATTTCTCCTGCTTATTCTCAGTCATATAGCACCCTATCCCATACCCTCCAACATTTCTCTGATGAAAATAGGGATGTATAAAACATATACATATACATACATATATAAAATATATATGTATAAAACATATATAAAAACATGATTAAACATTAAACATTTTAAAACTTCCCTATACAGCCTTCATATGGCTTGGGGGTCTCATAACTCGATACTTTTCAACGTTTATCGAATGAAAATAGGGACATCCTACCATATCCACTAGGGACGCGGGTGGCGCTGTGGTGTAAACCACTGAGCCTAGGGCTTGCCGATCAGAATGTCGGCGGTTCGATTCCCTGTGACGGGGTAAGCTCCTGTTGTTCGGTTCCTGCTCCTGCCAACCTAGCAGTTCGAAAGCACATCAAAGTGTAAGTAGATAAATAGGTACCACTCCAGCGGGAAGGTAAACGGCGTTTCCGTGCGCTGCTCTGGTTTCGCCAGGAGCGGCTTAGTCATGCTGGCCAAATGACCAGGAAAAACAGTCTGTGAACAAATGTCGGCTCCCTTAGCCAGTACAGTGGTACCTCAGGTTAAGTACTTAATTCATTCCGGAGGTCCGTTCTTAACCTGAAACTGAAGCACCACTTAACCTGAAGCACCACTTTAGCTAATGGGGCCTCCTGCTGCTGCTGCGCTGCCAGAGCATGATTTCTGTTCTCATCCTGAAGCAAAGTTCCTAACCCGAGGTACTATTTCTGGGTTACCTGAAGCGTATGTAACCTGAGGTACCACTGTAAAGCGAGATGAGCGCCGCAACCCCAGAGTCATTCGCGACTGGACTTAACTGTCAGGGGTCCTTTACCTTTAGCTTTACCATATCCACTAACATTTCGCTGATGAAAATAGGGATGTCCTTAGGAAAAGGGGGACATTCTGGGATCAAATCAGAAACCAGGACAGCTTCTGTAAATCTGGGACTTTCACTGGAAAATAGAGACACTTCACTTGGAGGATCTGCTATTCCCCTTTATCATCTTTGAACATCATATTTAATTGTGGGAGGGGGGAATTTATCACCCAAAATGATTCTGAGAGGAATTTCCAAAAGATGGAAATGTTTTTGTTTTTGCTCAACCACTTTCGGGGAGTCCTTTTTGAAATATGGCAACCCTAGTTGAACATTTTTCAACCCAACTACAAGAATGCATGTTCCTCAATTTGTAATGGGTAAAAGTAGGGGTAGGAAAAGCAGACAAGAGATCAGTGTTTGTGGCCTGCCAAACAGAGGGCAGCTTTACAGCATGAAAGGGAAAGGCCTCTTTTCATTCACAGGAGCAGGCGAAGGAGAACCCTCAATGTTTCCAGGGGATTAGCATGTAATGCCAGCTACTCAGGCAGCTGGGTCATGTGTTTGTGCCAGAGTTGCAGGGCCTGGGATGGCATCTACTTTAAAGAGAAAGGGACAGAGGTGCCGTCGCTTAAAAGGCTGAGCCATTCACATGCCCTTCTCTTAACTTACTTTTATACATTTCTCATGTGGAAAGCAAAGGCGAACAATGGGGAAAGGGCTCCGCCAGTGGGGCAGGAAGGTGGGCTCAGAACTGATTTTCAACTTGTGCAGACCTGCTTGGTTTCTGAGGAGCATTTGGCACGGTGGAGATATTATTGCTGTGGCATAGCAACAGTTAGAGGCCGAACCAGGAGCTGGGCAATGTGGGCATGCGCCCAGAGTTTTTAGGCTGCAAAGGGGCCTGGTCCACTACTTGCTGCCAGCCAGAGTGAGAGCTCCATTTTGTGTTTTCCTCTAGAAAGTTATAGGAGAAGAGAGGCACACATGGTGTATCACTTGGAAGTTCTGTGTGGCACTGTTAATGAATGCTGGCATGGACTTAGGACCGCTCCGGAGTGGTAGCTTTGTAGGGGCAAGGGTCATGGGTGGATACTGTAACACAATAATAGTGCACTAGTAGGGACACGGGTGGCGCTGTGGGTTAAACCACAGAGTTTAGGACTTGCCAATCAGAAGGTCGGCGGTTCAAATCCCCACGATGGGGTGAGCTCCCAGTGCTCGATCCCTGCTCCTGCCAACCTAGGAGTTCGAAAGCACACCAAAAAGTGCAAGTAGATAAATAGGTACTGCTCCGGTGGGTAGGTAAACGGCGTTTCCGTGCACTGCTCTGGTTCGCCAGAAGCGGCTTAGTCATGCTGGCCACATGACCTGGAAGCTGTATGCCGGTTCCCTTGGCCAATAAAGCGAGATGAGCGCCGCAACCCCAGAGTCAGTCACGACTGGACCTAATGGTCAGGGGTGCCTTTACCTTTACCTTTACCTAGTGATGTTTTCCCAGTAGTAATGTATGGAAGTGAGAGCTGGACCATAAAGAAGGCTGGTCGCCGAAGAATTGATGCTTTTGAATTATGGTGCTGGAGGAGACTCTTGAGAGTCCCATGGACTGCAAGAAGATCAAACCTATCCATTCTGAAGGAAATCAGCCCTGAGTGCTAACTGGAAGGACAGATCCTGAAGCTGAGGCTCCAATACTTTGGCCACCTCATGAGAAGAGAAGACTCCCTGGAAAAGACCAGAAAAGATGGAGGGTGCAAGGAGAAGGGGACGACAGAGGACGAGATGGTTGGACAGTGTTCTGGAAGCTACCAGCATGAGTTTGACCAAACTGCAGGAGGCAGTGGAGGACAGGAGTGCCTGCCATGCTCTGGTCCATGGAGTCACGGAGAGTCGGACACGACTAAACGACTAAACAACAACAAGTGGGCTTCCCTTCCTTACGAAGACAGTTTCAGGTGGACTGAGCAGACGAGACCAAGAGTGGGTCCTAGAAGGCAGTTTCTGCACGTGTTTTTAGATGGAAGTGAGGGGCAGATGGGGCTCATCACCCTGGGAAGATAGCCCATCTAGGAGAAGGGAAACTCTGCTCTTAAACCTCTGCTGCATTGTGGGATGTCTTCAGAAGGAGAAAGGGCTAAGGAGCAGAGCCGTCTTTCCTATTGGGCTTACTGGCGCGTTGCGCCAGGGCGCTGGCCTCTCAGGGACGCCCCAGCAAGTGGGGGAGCTGCGCGGCTTTGCCGACGCCCTCCCCTTTCCCTGCACGCCCGCCAGCCTTGCCCCATCAACCATATGGCTGGCAGGCGTGCAGCTTCCTTCCCAAGCTTCCGCGGGAGGAGAGCGATCCCCACAGAGGCTCGGGGAAAGGTCGACAACTCTGGGAAACGGGGGGGGGGCGCTGGAGGGATCTTTGAACCACGGCGCCAAATATGCTTTAGACGGCCTTGCTAAGGAGTAAGCCCTGCACAAATCCAGAGTGGAATCCCTAAGACGGTCAGATAGCACCTTGTACACCTCCTACCGGCAACTCCTGCAGCCAAGCAGGTGCCAAATGTGTTTCTCTGCTTTCCTTCGGACCACATCAATGAGGCTGACAGGAGTGTCTTGTTGTCTGGGCAGCCCAGGACCTCCATACACACTGCCCGGGCTTGCGCCCCAGGGAGGTCACTCCAGCGCTGCTAACGTAGCAATTTGACTTCACCCTGTGGTTTTTCATACGCAAATAAATCCCAGTTGCTGACATTTCCCATTTTGAGTAATGTATCTCAGATTTCTGCTGATCCCCCTTCCCTGTAAAAGCAGCCCCTTGCAGTTCCAGAGGGTTCCCAGTTCCTCCAAAATTGCTATTCAGGGTGCACAAAGTCCTGCTGTGGGGAAGAGGAGAGACAAAAGCCTCACTGTGCGAGCCCAACTCCACTAACGGTCTCTATGGCAGTCATGAAACAAAAAGTTTAATCATTTATCCGCTGCTACTTCTGAGGGCCAGCTGGCTGGCTGTGTGGCCAGCAGGTGGCAGTGCAACAATGTTATTGTTTCCATATGTCTGCTGGTATGGCCAGCTGCAGATGCTGTAAAACAGGGGTCAGCAAACTTTTTCAGCAGGGGGCCGGTCCACTGTCCCTCAGACTTTGTGGGGGGCTGGACTATATTGGGGGGGATGATGCAAGAGCACCACGAGCCCCGGTGGCTGCTTACCTGTGTCTTGCGAGTGGCAGGGGCTGGCATCAGCGGAGGAGGAGGGACAATGAGCGGCGCACAAAAAGGCTCCGGAGAGGGGCTGCTTAAAATGGTGGTCGCTCGAGCACTGCTTCCTCTTCCTCCTCTAGGCAGGGTGGGGAGAAGCCAGGAGGAGGGAGGGAGGAGGCACTGGCACCGCTGCTGTGTGAGGGAGAGGGAGGGAGGGAGAGAGAAAGAGTGCGCACGCGCTGGCAATCCACGTGGCAATTACCAGACCGTCCACAGGCTGGATCCAGAAGGCAATTGGGCCTGATCCGGCCCACGGGCCTTAGTTTGCTGACCCATGCTGTAGAACGTGTCAACTCGCTGGGAATCCCTCAGGTATAGAAACAGAAAAGAGCCTTATGGGACTTCCTGGAGTCACACATAAGCCCCCAAAACTGACAGACATACACTTACTTTGTATGGCAGTTATCTGGAACTATAATTCTGAGGGAACCTTTGTAAGGGAAGGGGTAGCCCAAATGGCAGTGTTCTACGTTCCAACATTTCTCCAGTGAAAATAGGGACGTCCTATTGTGAAATGTGCAGCTGTTGCACATTTCTGCACCTACCTGTAGATCAGGTTATTAACAACTAAACTGCTGAAGCGTCAAGCAGGCAAACTTTCCCCTCCCCCTGAAGCTTAAATAGGAGTGCCCTGATAGGCAAAAGCAGTAGTTAACAAGCCATATATCAGAGGTGAGCAGTATCCAACCTAGTGTGCTGGGGTCCTTGCAAAGAATGTTGGATTGATGGACTTTGGTCTGTTTACTGTTTGGAGCAAAAGCACATTCTCGGGGTCACTGATTAGCTAGGCCTTTATACCCTATGCATATTGTAAAGTGCCCTGCGATCCTTGGATGAAGGGCAGTATCGGAATGCAATAAATAATAATAGTAATGTTGTTATAGATCTAGGGTACCAAAGTCCGTTAGCGAACGGTAGACCTTAATGAACAGTAGTATTTAGATAGCATTTGGCATATTGGAGGGAAGATTCCAGGCCAGTGGAAAAACACAGGCTAAGCTCCCTTTCCAGGCCAGGGCCTCAGCTGGGATAAAAAGGTAAAGAGACCCCTGACCATTAGGTCCTATCGTGACTGACTCTGGGGTTGCAGCGCTCATCTCACTTTATTGGCCGAGGGAGCCGGTGTACAGCTTCCAGGTCATGTGGCCAGCATGACTAAGCCACTTCTGGCGAACCAGAGCAGCGCACAGAAACGCTGTTTACCTTTCCGCTGGAGCAGTACCTATTTATCTACTTGCACTTTGACGTGCTTTGGAACTGCTAGGTTGGCAGGAGCAGGGACCGAGCAACGGGAGCTCACCCTGTCACGGGGATTCGAACCGCCGACCTTCTGATCAGCAAGTCCTAGGCTCTGTGGTTTAACCCACAGCGCCACCCGCGTCCCTCAGCTGGGATAGAGGCTGTTAACATGACAAAAGGTACTGATGGCCCATCCCAGAGGAATCCTTGGGTCTGTGCAAGATGGAATCCCAGTAATCCCAGTCAGGAGGAGGAGTTACACCATGTCATTACCAAGGAGGGAAGTTTAGTCTGAAGACTATCCCTGCCTTCGGGTCTGGCCGTGCCCAGAAAGATACAGGTATCGAGAAACACGTCCCATGTGACACACAAGCATGTTTTAAATTCACAAAGCAAGGATGTATACTCTTAAGCTGTAATCCTATACACATTTACATGGATGGGAGCAAGCCCCACTGATTGTAGTAAGGCATGCTTGCAAATACAGTGGTACCTCAGGTTACATACGCTTCAGGTTACAGACTCCGCTAACCTAGAAATATTACCTCGGGTTAAGAACTTTGCTTCAGCGTGAGAACAGAAATCATGCAGCGGCGGCATGGTGGCAGCAGGAGGCCCCATTAGCTAAAGTGGTGCTTCAGGTTAAGAACAGTTTCAGGTTAAGAACAGACCTCCAGAACGAATTAAGTACTTAACCCAAGGTACCACTGTAATGCAACTGGCTGAAACAGAGACCAGGGAGTGCTTGCTCCATCTTCCATGTGACAGCCCTTCAGATCTTTGAAGTTGGCTCTCATATCTCCTCTCAGCCTCCTCTTTTCCAGGCGATGTTTATATAAACCACAGACCATGGGCAGATATACCCCTTTTCTTTCACTGTGCAGTGTGCTTTAGTCAACTTTTGCCAAACTAACACCCTAAATACTTGTATTCTGCTGGTCTGGCAACCAACATGAACAGCGAAAGAGGATAAACTGGCGATGGGACCACTTGGCTGTTTGTCATGGAGCCTGCCATGACACCATGGTAACAGGACACTGTGATAAAGCCTATTAATGAGGCATTGTGCCTGGTGTCAATATGAAATCATAAATTCCCTGCTATTAAAAACCCATCAGGGTTGTTGTTCATTTTGCGAAGCTCAGCCAGAAACTTCGTAGGACTATTCCCAGCTTGTCCTCTCTTGAACTTGTCCAGCTCCTTCCCAGCATAGAAATTGGGAATTTTACTCTCTCAAAGATAGATAATGCAACATTACAACGACAAGCACTCATGGCTCTGAAGAGCATTGTGTCATATGATACTAGTTGAAAACTATTGTGTGCTGAGGTCAGGGAATAAAGGTAATATAATATTTCTGTGTTACTCAAAAAATAAGCAGATGCCTCACTTTACACTTCTTTGCCTGTGAAGCAGGAGACAGGAAGGACAAAACAGGAGACACTTTGGCAAGCTGACAAAGGGATGAAGAGAAAAATCTATGAGTTCTGGGGCTGTAAGTCAATGTGAAGAAAACCAAGACAATACATGGAAGAGCAAAAACTCCCCCAAACTCTTCATGCTACATGCAGGACAGTGAAATGGGGGCTGGGGGGGATAGATGGGTTTCACTGCAAATTATTGTGGGGAAGGTGAATTTTTCCTACCGTTTTCTCAGAGAACTGTACTCTGCAAAATTACTTTTCATATTGAATTAAACTCTGTGATAAGTTTTTTATTATTACTATTATTATTATATTTATTTATACCCCGCCCATTTGGATGGGTCTCCCTAGCCCCTTTGGGCAGTTCCCAACAGAACATTAAAAACACAATAAAACATCAAACATTAAAAACTTCCCTAAACAGGGCTGCCTTCTGATGTCTTCTAAAAGTCAGGTGGTTGTTTATTTCCTTGATATCTGACAGGAGGGTGTTCCACAGGGCCGGCGCCACTACTGAGAAGGCCCTCTGCCTGGTTCCCTGTAACCTCACTTCTCACAGTGAGGGGACTGCCAGAAGGCCCTCGGAGCTGGACCTCAGTGTCTGGGCTGAACGATGGAGGTGGAGATGTTCCTTCAGGTATACTGGGCCAAGGCTGTTTAGGGCTTTAAAGGTCAGCACCAACACTTTGAATTGTGCTCGGAAACGTACTTGGAGCCAATGTAGGTCTTCCAGGATCAGTGTCATATGGTCTCAGCAGCCACTCCCAATCTCCAGTCTAGTAAAGGACAAGAACATGCTGTGCTTTGCCTCCACAGTCGAAAGAAGTAAAACTTCTGAATACTAGTTGTTGGACTGTGGTGGAGAGGGCTCTTGTGCTCAGGTTGCAGGTTTCTCACAGGCATCTGGTTCCTACCAGCAACCGTGAGAACATGATGCTGGACCAGATGGGCCATTGGCCTCATCCAACAGCCTCTTCTGATGTCCTTAAAGAAGCCATGGGCCTAAAGACAAGGACTGGAAGGGGTAGAAAACCAACCACCTTTGTTTTGCCTTCAGTGATGGTGACGATAATGATACTATTGGCTTTGTGGGCCCCAGGAGGAAGATCTCAAAGACGCCATTGTATCTAAGGTGCCACAAATGGCAACCTCTGGCCTGGAATGAATGTCTTAAAACCAAAAACCAAAAAAACAAGCATACCTTAAAGGTGGTGATGGCCACCCACTTGGATTAGACAAATTCATGGGAAAGGCTATCAATGGCTACTTGTCACAATGGCTAGGGCCTACTGCCATTGCTCAACGCAGGTTGATTCTGAACTCCAGTTGCCAGAAACTGTAGTAGGGCAGGTTCCAATAATAATAATAATAATAATAATAATAATAATAATAATAATAATAATTTATTTATACCCCGCTCATCTGGCTGAGTTTCCCCAGCCACTCTGGGCAGCTCCCAATCAAATGTTAAAAACAGTACAGCATTAAATATTAAAAACTTCCCTGAACAGGGCTGCCTTCAGATGTCTTTTAAAGATAGGATAGCTGCTTATTTCCTTCACATCTGAACGGAGGGTGTTCCACAGGGTGGGCGCCACTACAGTGGTACCTCCGGTTACATACGCTTCAGGTTACAGACTCCGCTAACCCAGAAATAGTGCATCAGGTTAAGAACTTTGCTTCAGGATGAGAACAGAAATCGTGCTCCGGCGGCGCGGCAGCAGCAGGAGGCCCCATTAGCTAAAGTGGTGCTTCAGGTTAAGAACAGTTTCAGGTTAAGTACGGACATCCGGAATGAATTAAGTACTTAACCTGAGGTACCACTGTACCGAGAAGGCCCTCTGTCTGGTCACCTGTAACCTCACTTCTCGCAATGAGGGAACCGCCAGAAGGCCCTCGGCGCTGGATCTCAGTGTCTGGGCTGAACGATGGGGGTGGAGATGCTCCTTCAGGTATACAGGACCTATAGCATTCAGGTCCTGCTTGTGAGTTTCCTAAAGGCATCTGGGTGACCACTGTGGGAGCAGGCTGCAGGTCTGATCCAGCAAGACACTTAGTCTTACATTTAACACAATTTGATGGGAATCCATTTTGGTACCCAAACAACCTGTAGCACTTGGGAGCTGGGGGGGCGGAGGTTAAAGACGCTGCTTTATTGTGTTGTCTGGTTTGGGGCCTAGCTCACTGTGGACGGTATACCCTAGAAATAGTGAGCCCTGCTTGGAAGCCAAGGCTGTTGCTTGCCCTTCTTGCTTTCTATGCTTTGAGCTGCCTTCCTTTCCATTAGCATCGTCTCTCTTCTTTTGCCACCCCCCTCCTGTGTGCTCAGGATGCCTCATCCTTATCTTTGCCGTGACATGAAACCATGCGCTTGCCATTCTTTATAAAGCTGAAGGGAACTTAAAGAAGCTGAGTGAGAGACAGCAGTCAATGTGATCTTAGCCTTTTGGCTAAGCACCAGCTGACAGATCTTGCTGCCA